CTTGGAGGCTGGGGACATGTTGCTGCCCCCCCTGATGCCCTCCCACCCCGGCAGGAGCACGTCCGGCATCACCGGGAGATCCATGTGGTGATGGGCAATGAAGCCTGTGACCTGGACTCCACCGTCTCAGCCTTGGCCCTGGCTTATTTCCTGGCGAAGGTGAGGCCCAGGGGACACGGGGTGGCTCGGGGGACACCTCACTGGGTGTCATACCCCCCCTCCCCACACACACACACCCCCCCCAAATCGTGCCACAGACCTCCCCGGCTCCCAAAGCCGCCTTCATCCCGGTGCTGAACATCCCTCGCGCCGAGTTCCCCCTCCGGACGGAGACGACGTTCCTGCTGCGGGAGCGGGGGGTCCCCGCCACCTCCCTCATTTTTCGGGATGAGATCGACCTGGGGGGGCTGCACCGCGCGGGGCTGCTCTCCCTCACCCTGGTCGATCACCACGTCCTGCCCAGGTGAGCCTTGTCGGGGACAGGGGGACCCCAAACCTCACTTTTTTTTTTTTTTTTAAATCCCTGCTTGATTTATATATTTTTTTTTTTTGACCCAGGGTGGGTAAAATCTTTCCCCTTTGCGGGGTGTTTTTAGGGTAGGAGGAGAGGAACAAAGGGGGTTTCCAGGCTGTGCCGGGGGTGATGATGCCCCGGGGTGGTGCCGGGGGGTCTCACCCTCCCCGTCTCGCCCCCCAGCGCCGATGCCGCCCTGGAGGAGGCCGTGGTGGAGGTCCTCGACCACCGACCTCTGGAAAGGGACCGAGGTGCCAGCTGCCGGGTGACGGCAGAGCCGGTGGGCTCCTGTGCCACGCTGGTGACCGAGCGCATCGCCCAAGGTCCCCCGGGCATCCTGGACAGACTCACGGCCGCCCTGCTGCACGGTGAGGATGGGGAACCCCCCCTGAGCCCCATCTGGGGGTCACGGTGACGACTGATGGCCCCCCTGGTTGTGTCCCCACAACCTCCCCAGGAACCATCTTGCTGGACTGTGTCAACCTGAGCCCAGCCGCCGGCAAGGTGACACCCCGGGACGTGGCGTGTGTGTCCCTGCTGGAGGAGAGGTTCCCCGACCTGCCGGCCCGTGACACCATCTTCCAAGCCCTGCAAGCGGCCAAATTTGATGTCTCAGGTCGGTCGGGGGGGAACCCAGGGCTGGGGAGGGGGTCCTGTGGCAGACCCCTCTGCTTGGGGACGAGGAGCAGGCAGTATCTCACACTTATCAATGGCTCTGGGGAACAAAGAGGGGCAGAGACAAGGGAAGAAAAGGTGAGAACAAAAGGTGAGCTCAGGTGTACCCCCCCCAACGCTGCAGGAACAGGACCTGAGTGCCAGGGAGAGGCTAATTAAACACAGCCATGAGGAGGTGAGGGAAGAGAATTCAGTGAGGGTTTGAAGCCACCAATACAAACTGGGGGGTGAGGGATTGGAAAGCAGCCCTGAGGAAAGGGACTTGGGGGTGCTGGTGGAGGAGAAGCTGGACATGAGCAGGCAGTGGGCAGCTGCAGCCCAGAAGGTCAATCCCATCCTGGGCTGCATCAAAAGCTGCGTTGCCAGGCCTGTTTAGAAAGGGCTGCAGTGACAGGACGAGGGGCAATGGCTTCAAGCTGGAGGGGAACAGATTGAGACTGGAGATGAGGAGAGGGTTCTTCACTGGGAGGGTGGTGGAGCACTGGGACAGGTTGCCCAGGGAGGTGGTTGAGGCCCCTTCCCTGGAGATATTCAAGGGGAGGCTCGATGGGGCAACCTGGTCTAGTTGGGGGTGTCCCTGCTGACTGCGGGGGGTGGGACTAGATGGCCTTTGGAGGTCCCTTCCAGCCTGGGCAATTCTATGATTCTGTGATAAGGGCTCACGCTCATCCCCTGTCACCTCCCAGGGCTGACGACGGAGCAGATGCTGAGGAAGGACCTCAAAGTCCTCTCCAACGAGGAGCTGGCCCTCGCCATCAGCGCCATTTACGTGGACCTGGAGGTGAGGCTGGGGGGAAACTGAGGCAGAGGGGGTGGCACGATGGGGACAGCAAGGTGACACCGGGGGTCTTTTCCTCCACCACCCCCTTCCAGACCTTCCTGCGCCGGCCCGGTTTGCTGCAGGACCTGGATGCTTTCTGCCAGGCGCGGGGCTACGCGGGGCTGGTGGCCATGACCATCTCCTTTAACGAGGGCAACGAGCCCTCCCGGCAGCTCGCCGTCTACAGCCGGCACGAGCCCCTCCGCAGCGCGGTGAGTGGGGGGTCCGGGCACCCCAAACCCTCAACACGGAGATTTCGGGGGGCAACCGGGCATCCTACCCCCCCCTCACCCTGATTTTGGGGGTGCTCCATCCCTTGCAGGTGTGTCAGGCGCTGGAGGAGGCGACGACGCCGTCCCTGCACCTCCAGCCCCTGCTGAGCCCCTGGTCCTGCCTGGGCACCTACACCCAGGGCAACGCTTTGGCATCACGCAAGAAGGTCCTGCCCATCCTCCGGGCAGCCCTGGGGGGGCAGGGGGCTGCCGGGGGGGCAGGGGAGGAGGAGGTGGTCCCCCCGCCCACCCCCATGAACAGCCTGGTGGAGGAATGCCCCCTGGCACAGG